ATCTACAAACAGTGTTGTAGCTAATTTTGTTAACCATTTACGTTTGAAAACCAAACGGATTGTTATTTATCAAACTGGTTTTCTCTCAATATTTTTATAATTAGATGTACGCAACTTGTTTAATCATTTTTGATATAGTTGGAATTACAGATAATAGTTTTGAATGATGTTGTAGGACTTTAATTTGTAAATTGGGATAAGTCTCGAACATTTCTAATCAGTTGGATTTGTTGATGTTTTGTAAGGCAAGTTCACTATATGAGTAAGTGGTTTAGACAAGACGTTAGCTGCCTCTTTCAATATTGATGATGAAATACCGTCTAGACCAATAAACTTTTTTGTTTTTAACCCACGTAATTCTTTTTCTATTTAATCGATCGTTACATGTATAAATTTAAAAGTCCTGTAAGTACGAGTTGGTTCTTAATGTGATATAGCCCATGCTCTGTCTTTTAAAAGAAATGTATTTTTCTTTAAGGTGGTATAAGCCTATAAAAATTTAAATAGTTAGCTTATAAAAAAAAATAATTACATGACCGGGGCTAGAAGGTATCAAGATATGTTAAAATATATGTTTCATGGTAGTTCATAATGTTTTTACATAAGTTAAAAGTAACCTGTTTAGTGTATTTTTGATTGGTATTTAGCGTGATTGTGTTTGCAAATCAAGTCAGATCATGACCCCTTTTGCAATACCGATATCACAGATATCGGTATTATTTTATTTCGATATTATTTGGTTTTACATGATTAACATTGGAATCTCCTATTTTTGTTTCAGTAAAATCAAACTTAGATATAATTACAGAAAATAAGTAAGGGAAGTTGGAGTTTAGATATTTCAAGCCAAAGTCCATGGTTTAAATTCTGAACTCGGCTATTTTTGATTTTACAGGGTCTTTAGTGTAATTTTACAGGCTCATTCACTTTTTGAATTTATTTTTATTTTTCATCAATATATATATATATATATATATATATATATATATATATATATATATATATATATATATATACATATATATATATACATTTGTATAGATTTCGATATACAGTATATATTCGAGGTTAAGTATTTTGATGTAATAATACGAAGTCTCTTGTACGTGTTACAGTGCTCAATATTACTGAATAATAGAGCTATATATAATTATATTTAGATGAATAAAAACAACTGATTAGCGGGACTTAAAGTTTCATGCCCGAAGGCAATCATCAGCCGTTAATACAAACAAAAAACGTAAACAAACCGTTACAAAAACGTAAAAGTTACTATATATATATATATATATATATATATATATATATATATATATATATATATATATATATATGTATATATATATATATATATATATATATATATATATATATATATATATATATATATATATATATACATATATATATATATATATATATATATATATACATATATATATATATATATATACATATATATATATATATATATATATATATATATATATATATATATATATATATATATATATATATATATATATATATATATATATATATATATATATATATATATATATACACATATATATATATATATATATATATAATATATATATATATATATATATATATATATATATATATAAAGTTTACGGCCAAGTATAGGTACCCAAGGTCGTTAAACAAACTGTTTATCTAATTGCTTAAATGTAGTTCCTTTTTAAACGCAGTATAAATACTTTTTGTCTATTTTAATAAGGTTACTTTTGTTACAGCCAAAAATTGAGAACAAATTTGTTTTGTTCTACATAGAGCAAAGCAAATCGCATTATAACGACAAACTTAAAACTCATAAAATCCGTTCAATGTATTTGTAATAGAAATATCTGGAAAGTTAAGTTGTTTTCTTTTGTTTTTAAGTTCAACAGTATATTTTATTATGGGGTTTTGTTGATTTAACGTTTTAAGAAATAGCTCCTTTTTTTTCTTTCAACTCGAAGCAAGCATCGGTATCATCTGCATATATTTTATAAGTTATTGGTTGGAATAAATCAACAAAGACTATTTTAAAAGCTCTTTTTTCAATATTCTTTAGATATGCTTCAATTGTGACTACCATCAACGTTTAACCAATTAGACCTGAATTAGAAAAATTTCAAATATTATCTTCTTATAAAAAATAACACTTGCATAATGAATTTAAAAGAATTGATTTAGTCCTAGTGTTAAAATCCTCAAAATTGTCGTTCAATATATTAACAATAACCGGTATTGCATCATGAAGACATGTACACCTACCAGACATGTTGGACACATTGTCAAAACTTTGGATACGACAATATTGATATCTGATCCATGCAATTCTAAAAATAAAAAAATAGCACCTGCTAATTCTTTAGAATTATGACCAGAGCTGAGTAAATATCTTTAAAATCTTTATACCGGACAACCTTTTTTGTGAGCATACCAAAAAAAGAATACAGTTAATCTTCATAGCTCATATTAGAAACCTAATTGATAATTTTTAAGGAGGAATATATATATATATATATATATATATATATATATATATATATATATATATATATATATATATATTAAAAATTATCTTTAAAAATTATCCTTAAAAATTATCAATTGGGTTTGACTCATAGAATTTGTATACATTGTAATTTGATAAAAAAAGAGGAGAGAGGGTCCTAATTTTATAACCTTCGGTTAAAAAGGGAGGGGAAAGGGTGACCAAATTTGTCTCTAAAATGATTACGTCCTTTATTGACGGCTTTAGAGTATTTTCACATCCGTAGCTTCAGCAATTGATAGCGGTAGTACAGTAATTAAAATTGAAAAAATCATTTTTTCGAAAATTCATTTTTATATCAAAAAAAAATCATAGAAGATTTCTAATTTTTCTTGGATTGCAAAAAAGTTTTAGTAACTACATATTATCTTTGTTTGAAATGATTCAGTATCAATTTTTGACCATAGCAACGCTTTGATTTTTCCGTTGCTACGTACTTTTGAAATGAAGTTATACTACAAAACGCAATAAAAACCCCTTTATAGTGACTCTATAAAACAAGGTATTTTTATTCAATTGATAATACTTAATTTTTGCAAATGCAAAACTGTTAAAAACACAAGAGGTTATTACTTCAATTTAAAGTTTTAAAAGTAAAGTAATTGCTGCACTTTCAATAATGTTGTCAAAAAAAATTTTTTATAGTTTAGGAAAGGGAGAAATGATTTTGAAGCCAAAATTGGCAAGATCAAAATTTATCACGCTGGATCAGTTATTCTGATTTATGAGTTCCATTTGTAGTATCTGTTATCACACAAAAACTTATTAAAAATGATTGATTGTATAATTGAAGATAGTTGGTATGGTTCACCTTTTTGTGGTTATAGTTCTTGCTCTGTTCCAACAATTGGTAGATGAAAGTGAAATGATAACCAATGCATGTGGTAAGTTAATAAATGTAAATAATGTTTACAAGATAAAATAAAGACAAGTTATATAATGAAGGAATAAATTATGGCTTGCAATTTTATAGTTTTAATCTTTTGTAAGTATTTTATAGTGGTATATTTTAATATATAGTAACTTCTTCTGTATTAAAATAAATAATTTTAAAAGACTTAATTCATCAAGACTCAATAATTGTATGACAGTAATAAATTTGAATATAAATATTTTGCAATAATTATTAGGTTATTTTTATTTGCAAAACTAGTAATTTGTATTAAAAATTAACGCCATTTAAAAAAGGGGTTTTGTTTATTGAATTTTTATAAAAGGGTTTCACTCTGGTACTACCTCGCTAGATAATAGGGATCCCCATTAATTTAACACGCATTAACAACTAATCTCCTCTTTTGCAGCGATTACCATATGGCAAACCTAAGAATGTGAAGATTTTTTAAATTTACAATTTGATTTCTCCAAAAAAGTAAGCCCATGGATTATGAAACTTCTTGCATTGGTTGTTAATAAGAAACAGTTTATTTATTTATCTATTACTATTACTAAAAAAAACTTTAATACAAAACAAAATGATCTAGTTAAACTTGTGTTAGACCACTTGACATAAATCCTAATATTGTAGCATTTTGTAAATTAAGTCAGTTTTTAAGTTTGGAATTTACTAATTCCAATCTTAAAAATTGGCTGCAAAAACGACATATACACAAAATTTTTTTTATTGTCGCTGTTGTGTACACAATCAAACCAATACATATAGTCATTTCTTCAGATAACTTTCCTGAAAAATGTTTAAAAAAAAAATTTAGTAATAATGGGCAAAATTGTAGTTTATGTAAAGACAACAAGCAAGTCTCACAATCAGAAAAGCAATGTAACCATAAAATAAAATCAAGAAAAAAAATGTAATTAGAAATACAAAAAAATATTTGCGAATAAAGTAAAACATCGTTGGTGTAATGTAAAAGAGTTAATTTTTTGAAGTTTATATTTTTTAACTTGCATTTTTCTAAAAATCATTTTTTTTGGCTGGTGACGAAGATTTTATCAAAACTAACTATCGAATTGACTTGAAATTTGGCCTACTTATTTATTGCATTAGTATTTACAACATACACTAAAATAATCTTTACAGCTTTTCTCGTTTAAAAGTTTTTCAAAATTTTGTGTCCTTAAATTACCCCATTTTTGCCCAAATTTACAAAAACGCTAATACTTTGTCAAGTTTGGACCTAATTTAAATCTTCTAGTCCACGACACAATAATAGATAAAATATATCAATAGCCAAAATTTCAGTCATAAATTATGATCTATTGTTGAAAAATCTTTGTCGCCTTTACCCCATTTTTTAACCTTTAATGGTTAATAAATAATAATTAAGAAAAAAATTTCAAAATTTTTTTAATTTTTTTTTTTGCATTAAATAGTATATTATAAAATTTGTGAAAAAAAAATATATATTTGTAAAATTTAAAATCCAAGTTGTTGTTTTTTTAATTACTGTACCACAATTAGTAAAAAGTATTAAAAAGCTTAATACAAGTTTTTTTTTCTTTTTAAAAAAAGTGTTATCAAACGAATGTTAATACAAATAGAACAGTTAAACTACTCAAATTACTTTGGGTAATAATACAAAAATTACTTCGATTAATAACAGTCAAACAATGTTTTTTTTTTTTTTTTTTTATTTTAATGTAGTCATTATTGTTTCTTATATAAATCAATATACCAACTGTTATTATAAAATTATACTAGTTAAATTATTGTTATTAAAAAAACACTTAAATTGTTAAAAAAAATATTGATTTTAGCGAGATAATTGCGAATGACTTCTGTATTCTTTAAAATGAAATAAAGCTTGAATTGCCATACCAAACGTTGAAAAGAATCCGAAAGCCTGAAACAATTATAGTAAAAAATTAATTTATTTATTCGTTATATAAACGTTGTTATTTTTTTATTTCACTTGTAATTATTTTAATGATTTTTTTTTTGTGTTTTTCAGTTTATACAACTACATTTAATTAATTATTAAACACTTTGTAATAAAAAAATTTTTTACCGACGCGGAACCTAACCCTGGAATCGCATATTTACTTGACAACTGCGGAATTATTATTGAAGATATAAACACAAGAAGAGTCCATACTCCACAGTTTATCATAAGCTGAATAAAAAAAAGCATTTATTAATATAGTAAACTTTTTTTTTTTTTTTTTTGTAATAGATTTTACAAAAATCTATTTTACAATACATATTATTATATTATAAAAACATTTGTAAATAGGTTGGTTTTGTAAATAGGTTGGTTTTGTAAATAGGTTGGTTTTGTAAATAGGTTGGTTTTGTAAATAGGTTGGTTTTGTAAATAGGTTGGTTTTGTAAATAGGTTGGTTTTGTAAATAGGTTGGTTTTGTAAATAGGTTGGTTTTGTAAATAGGTTGGTTTTGTAAATAGATTGGTTTTGTAAATAGGTTGGTTTTGTAAATAGGTTGGTTTTGTAAATAGGTTGGTTTTGTAAATAGGTTGGTTTTGTAAATAGGTTGGTTTTGTAAATAGGTTGGTTTTGTAAATAGATTGGTTTTGTAAATAGATTGGTTTATTGTATAGTATAATACCTATATGAATTTTCAATCAATTTTGCAAATTGCTTCTCTCATTCAAAGCATTATTTTATTGAAATGAGAATTCTGAATATTTACGAGTTAAATGTATTTAATGTTTTATGTTTTATATATATGTGGGTAAATAACTTATCTCTACCCGTCTTCAAAGATCTTTTCTCTTTTAAACCAGTCAGTAAATATATTTTAAGAAATAATAACTTTTTAAATAAACCTTTCTGTCAAATAAACTTTAATCATTTTTGTATTACCTATTGAGCACCTGACCTTTGAAATAAAATTGTTTTGGCAAAATTTAATTTTGAAGTATTTAAACACCATTGCCTCTAACAACTTTCTTCCTTTTATATCTTTACCGACAAGAATTACAAATCACTCAAGAACTATAATTGATAATATATTTTCTTACTCAATTTTTAATAATATTTTCTCCGGCAATTTAACTATCAGAATATCGGATCATTTGCCACAGGTTCTAATTTATCCATCTTTTAAAAGCAAAAAAATTATTTTCGTAAAAACAATATTTTCCTTCGAAAATTTTAAAGAACTTGATAGTAATCAATTCAAAAACAATTTCTTACAGATAAACTGGGATAAAGAAATTAATTTTTTTAATGGTAATACAAACAAATTATATGAAGACTTTTTCCGTAGCTTTAACTCTCTTTTAGACAAACACGCACCCCAAAAAAAATTAAGTAATCGTGGCTTAACTCGGAGCCTTAAACCGTGGATTACTCCAGCAATCTTGACCTCAATAAAAAAACGTAATATAATATTTAAAAAATATCTCAAAACAAAAAATCTAATTATTAAACTAAATCTTGAAAAAACTTACAAAACCTATAGAAATTTACTTGTAACACTGTAACAATTCTACGCAGCAAAAAAAACCTTTTTTCCATTTATTTTTTTTAACAGCAATAATTTGAGGGCTACGTGGAAAGGCATTAGAAAGCTTTTGAACATTTGTTCGGAAGATATCTCATACCTATCTTGTATATCTTCAAAAAACACCATTATACATGATCCAAACAAAATATCGGAAAAATTCAACTCGTTCTTCATTTCAATACCTAACGAATTGCAAAAAAACATTCACTCATCCCATACTAACTTCTATAACTATTTAAAAACATCAAACCCTAAATCTATATTCATTAAAACTACTGATGAAAATGAAATTTTATCTATTATTCTTTTTCTAAATGATGGCAAGGCTTCTGGTCCATACAGCATTCCAATCTTTATTCTTAAATTTCTTGCTTGGGATATTTCTCCATTACTTTCTAAACTATTTAACCTCTCATTCGTTACAGGTATTTTTCCTAACATTTTCAAAACAGCATCTGTTAAACCAATTCATAAAAAGGGCTCAAGACTTGACTGTAATAACTACAGACCAATATCATTATTATTTAATATCAGCGAAATTCTTGAAAAATTAATTTATTCTCGTATCTACCACTTTCTTGATAATTCTAAGTGCTTATTTGGCCGCCAGTTTGGTTTTCGTTTAAAACACTCAACTTCCCATTCTCTTATTAGCATTACTGAAATGATTCGTGGTGCAATGGATAGTGGTTCATTTGCTTGTGGCGTCTTTATTGATTTCCAAAAAGCTTTTGACACGGTCGACCACAAGATTTTAATTAAAAAGTTATTCTACTATGGCATTCGGGGTATCGCTAATAATTGGTTTTCATCATATATTGAAAATTGTAGCCAGTTTGTCTCCATTAATGGGATTAAATCCTCTAGAAAATTTATCGAATATGTTGTCCCCCAAGGTTCTGTTCTTGGGCCTTTGCTGTTTTTAATATATATAAACGACTTGTCTCACTCTATAAGCAATTCCACACTTCACCATTTTGCTGATGATACCAATCTTCCATGCATAAATAAATCAATTACTTAGCTTTGTAATAATGTCAATTCAGATCTCCATCATTTGTGTCTTTGGTTAAATAGTAATCGTATGTCTCTAAATATCAACAAAACTGAATTCATTATTTTTTACCCTCCAAAAAAAATAATTAGTAATGATAATGTTAAAAATAAAATTAACAGTAAAAGAATCTTTCCTTCTGAATTTATAAAATATTTTGGAGTATTTCTTGACAAAAATCTTGGAATTATCAAATGATTCAATGAAATAAAAAACTCTCTCGAGCCAATAGTATGTTATCTTTAATACGACACTATGTTCCTATTCCTATAGTTAATATTCCATATTCTTATCCCACCTAAGCTATTGCTGCGTTGTTTGAGGGCAGCAAGGAAGTTTACTATTAAATCGTATAAACAGTTTGCAACGTGCTTCCATACGAATTATCAAATTTTCTCCTATTCAATCTAATATTCAAAAAAGGTTTTCTGAATTAAAAATCTTACAATTTCAAGATCTTATAAAGCTTTACAACTGTCTTTTTGTGTTTGATTTCCTCCAAAATAATCTGCCGGGCTCGTTTAACAATTTTTTCATTAAAGCAAGTGATACACATAAATACTATACTCGTATTACTATAAATGGTAATTTGCACCGTTCTTTTTTCAATACTGTCAAGAATGACAAGCTCTCCATAAAACATCAATGTATTTCTCACTGGAACCAATTAATACCTTTTTTATAAAAAATAAGATTTAAACTATATACCCTTTTGTTACTAACTTTCTTCTTCTCAACAGAAACCTAATTAAGAAATTTTTATGTGAGCAAATATCTAAAGAATATTAAGGCTATTTTTTATTATTATTCCTTCAATATATTATTTAATTGATTACACTTACTTTTATTTTTTTATTTTTATTATTATTCTTTACAGTGTTACTACTACTATTTTTATTTTTGTTATTACTATTATTATTTATATACCTTTGTTTTTGATGCCTAAATATTAATACCTATAATGATAGTCAATGTAGTTCAGTAGTTGCAGTAGCTTTATCATTATTGTTATAACTTTTCTTTAAATTGTTTATTTTATAAATATTAACTATACTATAATTATCCTACTATTGCTTTATCATTTATAATTCTTTTTATGTTGTTATATTGCAGATATTATTTTTTATACAACTTTTGTTCATATCATTGTTACTTTCTTTTCCGTCTTTTTTTTTTTTTTTAATCTTCTTTATTGTTATTTTTGCTTATTTTTCTTTCCTTTTTTCTTTTTTTTAATGTGTCACTCCATTGACTAGTTTTCAACTATATGAGTGACACCTAACCTTATTTATGTAAATTTATAATTTATCATTGTAAATTTTCATTATTTATGGTTAAATAAATGGAGAAAAAAAAAAAAAAAAAAGTACCTATTAATTTTTGCCTTTTTTTAAAAAAATTCATTATTTTATTAGATAATATATTGAGTTATTAGTAGTAGTAAAAGTTAAAAATATATTTTGGTCTACTTTTTTTTTTTTTTTTTTTTTATTGTTTATATAGATGTTTATGTTTATAGAAGTTTAATCCAACTTATTTAATTTATTGTTCTTACACTTTTTACTTTTCATTTATAATTTGGTTTACTTTTGTATAAAAATCTGATAAAAAGATCCTTTTGATCTTTCTTCAGACACAAACTGTTCGTCATGCAATTTTTGAAAAAATGCTTTTTTAAGGTTCTGACGACAAGATCCTTGTGATTTTCTTTCAGATACCTTGTTTATGTTTTTTTTGGTTTTTGTCATTGCAAGTTTAATTTTTTTTTTTTAATAGAATATTTAAAGCTGTACATCGATTGTATATATATATATATATATATATATATATATATATATATATATATATATATATATATATATATATATATATATATATATATATATATATATATATATATATATATATATATATATATATATATATATATATATATATATATTTATGTATAAAAGTACATTTTTGCAAGTTTTTATTAAAAAAAAAAAAAATTAATAATTTTATTTATAAAACAGTTATTATTTTTTTAAACTATTATTTTATAAAACAAGTATATCTTTAAGTTATTATTTTTATAAAACAATTATTATCTTTAATAATTATATAACATTGCTTCTTTTAAGTATCAGGTATTACGACCCCATTGTAAAGTTAAGCTTATGGGGCTATTTGAAAAAAAAAAAAAAATTACTGATACATATGTCAAGTACCCATTTACTATTATATGTAAGTTGTACTTGATGCCCTCTGGTCCCAGAGTTAGTGGCAATCGTCCTGATTGAATACCCTGAAAAAAATTATGTTAATGATAACACAAAGAGACACTTTAACAAAAAGACACATTGGTTTACACCCAGATACCCTGGTACATACCCAGATTATCCTGTGGAATAATAGTCTAGGATAAAAATTGGTGGTCATCTTGTGTTTTAACTGTACCATTGGGCTCGATTTCATACATAGCTATATGTGAGTTATTAATGAAACACTTATATCTTTAACTCTTAACACAAACCACATGGTATTTACTTACAAAACAGAAATAACTGCTTCACTGTTGATACTTTTTCATGCATTACACTTTCACTCTAT